TATAACGCCAATTAACACTATAACGTGCTACTAATAACTTACCGAGTGGGATGTTATATGATATATATGATATATGATATATGGGGAATACAATCGGCATAGACCATGGTAACTTGTTTCAGCATTACTAAAATACGTAAACAAAAAGAATTATTTTCGGTCACGAAAGGGTTATTGTGTGCTGACGGGGGCTGGAGGCCACCGGCGGGGGACGAGGTGGCCTAAAGCCACACTTGGATGTGGATATCTGTCGCCTGCGCTGCGTATACCAGCCAGTACACAATCTGGCTCTACGTTAGTGTGTTAGCGCATGCGCAATATCTTACCAGAGGAGTAATATTTTGTGATGAATATGCATTTAAAATGGTTAGGGGGAATCTCCGCATAGATTTCCCTAATAAACTTTTATCAGTAGAACTGTGTTTATAATTAGGAGAGCGCCCTAGAATGTAGGGTACAAAACACCTACTTTATACCCTCGCGTCCTTCCCCTTGCCTCCCCTGTCCCTCGCTCAGCCTCCTTCTTCTTCTACCACCCCCAGCTATCTTCCCTGCTGCCTTTCTTTAGTCTTCCATCCCCTCTCCCCCACAGCAAGCTATATTATGAAGTTTTCCTCAGACGGCACTGCACGCCTAACACGGTGCGCGCGCATCATGAAATGCCGACCAGCCCTCTGGTATATGCTAATATACGTCCGTCTCTGTGAGTGTTCACGCATATGTGCGTATGCGCCGTATACGCACATATGGGTGTGCGTGCGTGTATTCGTGGGGCTTGAATGATCATGACTATGTTGTTAAAACGCCCACATCTAAAAAAAAATCGAACATGGACTCGTAGCTTTCCGTTCTTGGCCCAGAAACACCTTCGCATTCTCACGTAAGATCCCATTAGAGACGACTGCGGTAGCCTGTCACGCACGAACAACTATAGATGCTTCCCCACTCTCCACCTTCATCCCCACCAGCCCAACCTCAGCCCGTCTACATAGATTACTGTTAATTCTGGGTGTTCACTAAATTCCAACCGTAACTGCATTTATGTCTTGTACGTCTGCGCTTCCGCTGTTTAATGGAAATGACGGCGCGGAACCGTTTGAGGCGGCTCACGCTGCATATATCGGGGAATTTTCAAAGCAAGCCTACTTTTTCGCGCAAAATCTCAATGCAAATTGGCCATTTCGAGTGTGTGCTGGCAAAATGTTGTTTACAAAAAAATTATGAACCAATTTTTTAGTTAATAACATATATGGTGTCACTTGCGACGTGGATAATGCCATTGTGATTTGTAAAAAAAAGCTTCTGCTGATTTATGGGAATTATTTCGTAAGTATGGCCGCCAATGGGAAATGATTACCCACCGACGTCAGCAGCATCGTGTGCGTAACCTCCTATGTTCAGCGAGATTAATACATTATCGCTTGCATTAAATAATTATTTAAAGATTATAAGATTTAAAGATTATTAGATAAAGATTTAAAATTTCAAGATTATATTACGTTACCACGAACAGTTATATAGAGTATAACCGCTTTTACGATTGTATTCCTTCTAGATGGTTAATTTGCTGCATCTTATATCACTTTTTCTGTTTCATCTGATGAAAACAGAAAGTTGCGTCCCATGCATAACTTAATTATATCAATTTCGGCGCGTGTAATAATTCGAATTAATTACACACGTATACATATTAAATGTTTAGTACATTTATTTTGTTTACAAAACATCTGTATCGGCTAAGAATTTAAGAATTTCTTTGTTTCTTTTAGTAGTGTCTTTCATGTATAGAAACGAAATGTTGGTTTTATGAGTACATACTTCTTGAAACACATGGCGTACTTCTGCCTGATTGAGACATGGAGGCTCAGGTTGTGTTCAGTAGTAGGCCCCGATGTTAGCCTATGATTGGTTCACGGTAATAGACTTACATAGAAACACGGTAAGAAGGAAGCTGATGTTGTGACTTCGTAATCCGCTTACATTCTGGACATGAGTCCTACGCCGTGACACGATGCTGCGGTGCGCCGTATTTACGTGGTATGCAATCACGGTTCTTCATCTGTCCTTGATAGGAAATGCGCTCTGTACGATAAACAGATACGTGGCCATCGTGCATCCGTGATACACTACAACTAGCTGCATGATGACTCCTGTACGCAGTGGTGTTCTCATAGCTTTATCGACGATGTACGCTCTTGTGATTGGGATCGCAGCAGCTATCCAAGTATCATATCACTGGGAACCGCCCTCGGTCAACATTGTTTACTTAGAACTCTCACCCGGATTCGTGTATGTCATTTCCAGTCACTATATTATTCTATTCATCGTCGTGGTTTACTGCTACGTCGTCATCACAAAGATTGCCTGGGACCACACACGAAGGATGGCCGCAGCATCAGATGAGGAGAGAGATGATATGTCCGCTTTCCACGCTACGCTGAAGATGTCCAAGGCCCTATACTTACAGTTGTCGGCACTTCGTTTACTCTGCTTACACCGCACGTTCTTCACGTGATCTTAATCTACAGCTTCCCGTTCCGACTTCTAGCACTTCGTACCATTCGAACGCATGCGCTGGTAGCTAATTCACTAATAAATCCAATGATTTACTTCTACACTGAATGAAGTGACACTGAATCAATGAAACACTTCCTGTAGCACGCACGCACGCACGCACGCACGCACGCACATACACACACACACACACACTCTCTCTCTCTCTCTCTCTCTCTCTCTCTCTCTCTCTCTCTCTCTCTCTCTATCTCTCGCTCTCTCTCTTTCTCTCTCTTTCTCTCTCTCTCTGAGCTTTCGCTTTCTCAGGCTTTCTCACTCTTACTCTTTCTCTGTCTCGCGTCGAGAAATATCAAATGAGATTAGAAGAATCGATGTAGAAGCGATGCTCTCTATAATCTAACCTGTCTATAATCTATGCTCTTCCAGACCATACACGCACACGCACACAACCGCAACGCACGCCAACGTACGCAGGCGACAGTTATCCACATCCAAGTGTGGCCTTAAGCCACCGGCAGCCTATACGGCCCCGCTGGCGCAATAATACACTGTGCACGTGATGCAGCCTACTTTTCTTTGCTGGAGGCGGTATAGCTTACAACCAAGGCTTACCACACACTACTATATAGGAGGCCTTAGACCCCCTTCATACACAATACTATGTATGTGGCCTTATTGGGCCGCCAGCATACACTATACTACAATACTATATAAATGGCATTAGGCCACCGTCATATACAATACTATATATATGGCCTTGGGCCCCCATACACTATTCTATTATTACAATACTATATAGGTGGCCTTGGGCCCCCGTCATACAAATACTATATATATTATGTGGCCTTGGGCGCCCATCATACACTATTCTATTATTACAATTCTACATAGGTGGCCTGAGGCCCCTCCTCATACACATACTAGTGTAACGGTTTTCCCTCTCCGCTCCAATCGCCTAATTAACCGCCTCGACTACTACCATTGGCCGTGGTATAGTATCGTTGCCGTTGTCGCCGCGCACCCTGACAGGGCCGTTACTCCCCGTCCTTTACAGATTCGATCACTAGGATCGCGACGAGGCAGAGGCAGTCAAACACCCGAGCGCCGAGAAGAGGGGGGGGGATGTTCCAGTCGTCCAGTGAGATATACGGAGGGGGGGGGGTGCTGGTCACGAAGTGATAAGTAAAGTAGGCAGTAACTGCAGCCACGCCTGCACATCCAGCGCAAACTAAAATCGCTTACGAGCGTCCAACAATACATTGCACAAAGTCATTCCGTAGAGGCGAAAACACACGCTTATAATATAGAGAAACAAATGCACATAGCAGAGAACGACAAACACAGTGGTTCCACGTCTGCGTGGCCGCGTACGCGTCACAGTACCAGAGTGAACTCTCTACCCCGTCTTCCACTAGTGTCTGTCACGATTCTTCTCAATAATTAATAAACACACAGATTAAGTTTCCTTCCCTCGCCTCCGTAGCACCTACGCTAGCCGTATAGTTAACTTGCATTACGTTCACAACAGTCTACAAATCCTACAGTAACAATATTCCATAACACGTACGATTTTACCTACAGCATACAGCTACATACGGTACACATACTGGCTAACTATGTACACATACCACGGCACTACTAGTAGTAGTGTGGTTACTACTACTACTAGCACCGTACGCGCACTACGAAGCACTACAAATTACAGTACGCGCACGGTTAAGTACATTAACATCGGAGCGCATTCTAAAGACAACTGGCCGCCATCGCTCTCAGGCGTATCTCTTCCTTCGCGCCGTTTTCTTCCTTTGTTCTCCCCTTCCTGGAATCGTCCTCGCGGCTAGCGCCATCCCCGTGAAATAAACTGCACATCGATGCACGATTCTAAAAGCGAATCTGCTACATTCCCCCCAACTTAAAATTGAAAAGCACCTGCTCAATTTATACTATCAAATGAAAATAAAACATAGCAGATGACACTTGAACCACTAGAAACAACCGCACATTGTTAATACACACTCCGCTAAGAACGAGGGCAACCGCCAGCGGTAAACATCACAAAGAAGCGCAACTACAAAATAAACTGATCGCGGCACGGGCGCGTTAGTGGCCCCGGCACTACGCGAAGTTCTCCCACGCGTCCACGGCGGTAGAACATTCGGCGTCGACGGCGATCCTGTAGGCTCCCTGGCCCCCGGGAACTCACTTGCCGACGCTCTGCCGTAGTTCTCACCACGTGTTCCTGTCTCAGTCTCAGTCTCACCAAGTGCCACTGTATCACCACGTGCTATGAGTGTTCCACAAAGAGGGAAGAGTCCATGACCCACGGCGACAAGGTGGGCTTCGCTTTTTTCGGCTGTGCGTCTTCTGCCAGCACCATCTGTGTAGTCAGTCGAGAGCAAATTACGTCGCCGGCGCTCAGGGTGACAACACGCAACCCGCTCCTCGGCGGGTCTACGCGGGCAAGGCGATATCTGCCACACGGCAGTGGGCGTGACCCCACCACCCGCGTCGATACTCCAGATCGACACGTGCCATCCCCGTCCGCTCCGCTAACACATCCGGCGGCGTTGGAAAGGAGGAGTCGTATCCCCGCGAGTGTGGTCATGACTCGCAGGAGACTCACGAGGCGTCATATGCTTCGTCATTTCCTCCTCCCCGCAGACTCGTGCAGTGTTATCTCTACCCCAGCTTCAGCTATCCTAGTGCCACCGTATGTCTCTTCTTCTTCCCTCCCGCTGCCACTCATCTCTCTAGACGTAGTACGCGGGCGGCTGCACCTGCAGCCGGCTACGCGTCACTTGCTCCGGCATTTGCGCCAAGCCCCGTGGTCGGTACCCATGCTCCATGGCTCCAACGGCCTTGTGCCTCCTCGCCGTCTCGTCTGCCATGCCCGCTTTTCCCACTTTATCTACTTCGCTGCGGCTGGCGAGGGCGTCAAGTCCGCTGGGGGTCGTGCATCGCACCGTTCCGCTCACGCATCGTCGGCGTCGGCCAGCTCTTGGTCGACAGGCATCTCGCACTCAGCCCCAGCAGTTCCTTGCTCTGCCCCCACCTCCACTTCTGTTACTTCTTCATCGTCTGCATCGCCGTTTGGGCGGGCCAACCCGGTTGGCCTCGTCCAGCTTCCCCATCTGGGAGTCGCCCTCGTGGGACCGTCCTTCCCTTCGGCGGTCCCTCTTCCGTCGCCTGGATCCATCTCAGCGAACCCCCGTCTTTCAGACGAGGTACGGGCCCGTCCAAAGGCCGGCCTAACTTCACATCTTCGGGCGCGGTAAAAGTACCACACCCAGGTGTTGGTCGTCAGGGCCGATGGTTGGACGCGCTTGTCGTAGCCTTGCTTCTGGCGTTCCGCCGCTACGACCGAGGGTTTTCCGCTCGCTCATAGGCGTCACGGGTGGCGCCGCATACCCACTCACTGTACTCGTTGGGGCACGCCGGGATGTCTCTGCCTATCCTCCACTACGCCCTCACGTGGCTCGTCGCACCCACTCCACGTATTCTGCCGCCTGCGCGTGCTCCACCTCCGCCGTAAGCTGGACCATGCGTGCTACCAAGGGCGGCGTCGGTCTCTTCCAGTTGAGCAGATCCGTCTTGAGGGTCACCACTTCGGCATTGATGAAGTCGAGCGCCTGCTCTGCTTCGACGAGATGGTTGCCTCGCTCGCCTTCCCGGCGGTCTTCTGCTTCCTCTCGCAGCAGGAACAGCTCCCTCTCCACCTCGCGCAGTCTCGCTACAGCGCCCTCTAGCGCTGGCTCCTTCTCGCGACGGAGAGATCCTTACTCCTTCTGGCAGCTCTCCAGCGTGCTCACCGCGGGCTTCCCTCTCGCCTCAGCTCTTTCTGCAGGCCGACAGCGAGGCTTCCTTCTCACTCAGCTCCTTCTTGCCAGGCGGACAGCGAGGCTTCTTTCTTCGCTCAGATTCTTCTGCAAGGCAGGAACAGCGAAGCTTCCTTTCTCGCTCAGATTCTTCTGCAGGCAGGACAGCGAGGCTTCTTTCTCGCTCAGCTTCTTCTGCAGGACGGACAGCGAGGCTTCCTTCTCACTCAGCTTCTTCTGCAGGCCCGACAGCGAGGCTTCCTTTTCACTCAGCACTTTCTCTAGAAGACAGTGCTCGGGAACCTCCTGCATGTCGCGCAGCGTCGGCTTCCGACGGTCGCCGCCACCGTGTGGCACCACCTCATCAGCCGATTCGTCTGCACTTGACAAGGATTGATGCGCTCTCAATAATACAGGCGTGAGGGAGCGAAGGTGGTGGACGTGACGCCTCTCTGCATCCGAACTGCCTTCGCGTCACGCATGCCTGTCACCACGCTTACGCTTCTTGCCTTTTTCTTTGCCCTCTGAAACTTCAGCCAGCAGCTCACGACGGTGCTGCCAACTTTCGTTTTGCCTCCTCGTGTCCCATCTCTAACACTCTCCTCTGAAACTTCACCAGCAGCTCACGACCGCTTGCCAACTTTCGTTTTCGCTCTCGTGTTCCATCTAACACTCTCCTCTAAGACTTCGCCAGCAGCATCACGACGCGGCTGCCAACTTTCGTTTTCGCTTCCTCGTGTCCCGATTTCTAACACTGTACTCTGAAACTTCGCCAGCAGCTCACGACCGGCTGCCAACTTTCGTTTTCGCTCCTCGTCCCCCATCTCTAACACTGTCCTCGGAAACTTTGCCATATCTTCTTCCCTCCCATTGCTCGCGGAGTGATGGCGTCTGGTTGGTCCCATCCAACGGCAACGCCCTGCATCTCCAACTCGGCCCCGACTGTCTGGCGTGTCGTTCGTCGTCTCGCCATCACGTCGCAATCCTGGTTTACGGCTCCAATGTAACGGTTTTTCGGTCGCACAGGCAGTGGGGGGGGTGCCGGTCACGAAGTGATAAGTAAAGTAGGCAGTAACTGCAGCCACGCCTGCACATCCAGCGCAAACTAAAATCGCTTACGAACGTCAACAATAATTGCTAAAAGTCATTCCGTAGAGGCGAAAACACACGCATATAATATAGGAGAAACACAAGATGCACATAGCAGAAACGACAAAACACAGTGGCGTTCCACAGTCTGCTGGCTACAGCACACTAGAGTGGAACTCTCCACCCTATACTATAGTGTCACGATTCTTCTCATAATTAATAAACACACAGATTAAGTTTTCCTTCCCTCCCTCCGTACTACGCTAGCCGTATAGTTAACTTGCATTACGTTCACAACAGTCTACAAATCCTACAATATTCCATAACACGTACGATTTTACCTACAGCATACAGCTACATACGTACACATACTGGCTACATACGTACACATACCACGTACACTAGTAGTAGTAGTGTGGTAGTACTACTACTACTAGTACCGTACGCGCACTACGAAGCACTACAAATTACAGTACGCGCACGGTTAAGTAATTAACATCGGACGCATTCTAAAACACAACTGGCCGCCATCACTCTCAGGCGTATCTTCTTCCTTCGCGCCTTTTCTTCCTTTGTTCTCCCCTCTCCTGAATCGTCCTCGCGCTAGCGCCATCTCCCGTGAAATAAACTTGCACATCGGATGCACGATTCTAAAAGCGAATCTGCTACACTAGATAGTTGCTTGGGCCCCATACAAACTATTATTACAATTCTATTTAGGTGGCTTTAGGCCCCGTATACAAATATAACGCCAATTAACACTATAACGTGTACTAATAACTTACCGAGTGGGATGTTATATGATATTATATGATATATATAATATGGGAATACAATCGGCATGACGCATGGTAACTTGTTTCAGCATTACTAAAATACGTAAACAAAAGAATTATTTTCGGTCACGAAAGGGTTATTGTGTGCTGGACGGGGGCTGGAGGCCACCGGCGGGGACGAGTGGCCTAAAGCCACACTTGGATGTGGTATCTGTCGCCTGCGCTGCGTATACCACCAGTACACAATCTGGCTCTACGTTAGTGTGTTAGCGCATGCGCATATCTCACCAGAGGAGTAATATTTTGTGATGAATATGCATTTAAATGGTTAGGGGGAATCTCCGCATAGATTTCGCCTAATAAACTTTTATCGAGCAAACTGTGTTTAATAATTAAGAGCGCGCCTACAATGTTAGGGTACGCAAAACCCTAACTTTATACGCCCTCGGCGTACCTTCCCCTTGCCTCCCCCTGTCCTCGGGGCGTAGGCCTCCTTCTTACCTTCCTGACCACCCCCAGCTATCTTCCCTGCTGCGCTTTTCTTAGTCTTCCATCCCTTCCCTCACAGCAAGACTATATTATGAAGTTTTCCTCAGACGGCACTGCACGCGCTACACGGTGCGCGGCATCAATGAAATGGCGACCAAGCCCTTCTGGTAATATGCTAATATACGTCCGTCCTGTGAGTGTTCACGGAGCATATTGCGTATGCGCCGTATACGCACATATGGGTGGTGCGTGCGTGTATCGTGGGGCTTGAATGGTCATGACTATAGTTGTTAAACGCCACATCTAAAAAAAATCGAACATGGAATCGGAGCTTTCCGTTCTTGGCCCAGAAAACCTTCCGCTTCTCAACGTTTAAGATCATTCGCCCCAGCGGACCACCCGCCCCCCGACACCGGGGGCCGGCTCTCACGCCAAAACCGCCGGAGGTAAGCGCGGGCCCGTCGAGGGGACAGCTCGGGGCGGAACCAGCAGCGCGAACCCAACCAGATCCCGAACAGACGGGCCACTGCGTAGCTCTTCACGCAGAACAACTATAGAGCCGGGCCCGGTGTGTGTGGGGCGGGTGCGCCCCCCCCCCATCCCCACCTCATTCCAGCCCGTTCATCCCACCCAGACCCAACTCAGGCCCGTATACATAGGAATTCCTCGGGGTTCATTCTGCGGTGTTTCACTAAAATTCAACACGTAACGTGCGCATTTATGTTCTTTACCGTCCTGACGTTCCGCTGATTTTAAAATGGGAAATGACGTGCGCGAACCGTTTATGAATGGCCGGCTCCGGGGCTATGCATAATAGAATTTCAACGATCAAATAAATATAGACACCCTCCGCCTGTTACTAACTAGTACCGTAGCTGCATATATTCAGCTGGTAGACTATGGATTTATATCGGCTTACTCATAAGTAATTTGATCAAGACCCGGTTGCAATAATACCTGAGAGTGATACAACGGAAAAACGCGCCAAAATAGTTGCCTATTCAACGGCACAACATCTATCTCCATACGTTTTTTAGCCTTGGGCCGAGATCCTCAGTACATGAAAAATTTCCATGGTTTTGCATTAAGCAGAATCTCTTTGCTCTCTAAAAACAAGACACTCGCTTGTTCAATACGGGATACTCGCTAAGGCGGGGAGGCCCATATCGGCTTCCTAAACCTCCCTCCACATGCACACACGCCGGCATCGAATCCACTTCTAGGCCGCATCCTTCCACGCCGTCTAGCATTTCGAGCTATCGGTTCCGGTCACGCTTGGAGCGGCGATACATTGATGCTCACATGGCCAATTTGGTACTTTACTAGACTGCGTGTGGTTAAGAGACTTAATTAAAAAAAACCATGCCGGCTCATTAATGACGCGGATTAGCGGTGCTAGGAAAGATGAATGGGAGATTTTACGGGAATAGGCCGGACCTGCCCCCCCGAAATCACCTCCCTGACACTGCCACCCGAAAATAATAGTCATAAAATTTAGTTGGGCGGAAAAGCCCGACGAATAATGCTAAGAAACGTTCACCGACGGCCGATTAGCCGGGGGTTCTGGAAGGGCATCGGGCGGACATGAATTGGGGCCTCATTCCGAGGCGGACGTTTGTTGCACGGCTTGGGAGGGCCGAGGCGTTTTACGCGCCCAGCCGATATCTCGCCCAGGAGATATCGTAATTGGACCCCCCAAGCGGGTTTGTTTTTGTTAGAGGCAGCCCCAGAAGAATTTCTGGGCTTAATGCACAATACATGAACCATTCGCGATTTAGTAGAGCTCGCGGGAGGCAAACGCCCTACGCGGAATAACTGTTTTCGGTTAACATAGCGACCTATTTTTTCCCCGTTGCTTGCGGTGCCATCTAGGGGTATTTATTAGCTCTTTGTGAGCGCTACGTAGCTCAGCTCTCATGCATGTGGCTGTTTCGGGCGCCCCGCGGCCCCGTGGTGTGTGTGTGGCCCGCTGCGTGGGGTCGTGGTGGGGTGTGTGATGTGTGTGTGTTGGCATGTGTGTGTATGTGTGCGTGCACAGTTGTGTCGTGTGTGCTGTGTGATGGATGTGTTGTGTGTGTGTGTCATGTGTGTGTCGTGTGCTGTCGTGTGTTGATGTGTGGTGTGTGTGTGTGGTGGTGCGTGCTGTGTGTGTGGTGTGTGTGTGTGTGTGTGTGTTGTGTTCGTGTGTGTGGTGTGTGTGTGTGTGTGTGTGTGTGTTGTGAGTGTGTGTGTGCTGTGGCTGTGATGTGTGTGATGTATACGTAGCAGCCAAGTAAATGGAGGCTAGTGCAGACGTATGTACGCCCTAATATACACTTACAGGTTATAGGGAGAGCCATGGTGTTGAGGGAGAGTCATGGCGTTAGGGAGAGACAATAGGCATTAGGGAGAGCCATGGGTTAGGGGAGAGCAATGGGTTAATGGGGCTGGGTTAGGATGGAGTCATTGGGTTAGGGAGAGCATGGGCTAGGACATGGGTGAGCGTTAGCAGAGAGCCATGGGGTTAGGGAGCAGTCATGGGTTTTAGGAGAGCATGCGGTTACGGGAGCATGGGTTAGGAAGAGTCAATGGTTAGGCGGAGAGCCATGGGCCTATGGGAGCATGGGTTAGGTGAGCAGATGGCACGTCTAGAGGGAGCAAATGGTTAGGGAAGAGCCATGGAGTGTATGGAGCATGGGTTAGGGAGTCATGGTAGGCGGAAGAGGCCAGTCGGTAGGGAGCATGGGCGTTTATGGAGCAGCCCCTGCGACCCCCTCTTAGAGAGCAATCGAGTTAGGAGAGCCATGGTGGGGTGAGGCGGAGCATTGGTGCTGCTGAGCCTTGGGGCACGGGCGAGTCAACTGGCGGTTGGGAGAGCGACTGCGTGATACGGGTGCCATTTGGGTTGTGAGGGCGCAAGAACACGTGCACCGCTTTCTGCTTTCCCCGGGGCCATTACGGCGAGGTGTTGTTGCGGTGGGCCGCTAGGGCCGGACGGAGCAGGGGTTAGGGACGCCGGGTACAAGCAATGTTTCAGGCGCACGCATCGGCGGCCCGGGGGCCCTCACAGCTCGGGCTCGGAGGCCAGGAAGGACCGCGCCGACGCGGGTTGTGGGCGCGCGGAGGTCACTACACGGTCCCATGCGCACGTCGTGCAGAGACTCAGAACTCGCGTTAATACCGAGGACGGTGCGTCCAGAATATTAATATTTTGCTGGAGGATTCCATGCCGCCTAGGTCAACCCGCAGGCGGATCAACAATACCGTCACTACGCGCCACGCTGGCTGGAATACTTCCCCGACACAAAACGCGCTTTCTTTGCACCTCTGAACAATTGTCATCGCACTGGCGCTACATAGACAATGGCCTGGGTTAACTTTGGGTCGCGCTGCTAGCGAAAAATCTCTTAGTAGAATACATGACTACTGCCGATCCCGGGGCCGGCGGCGGCCGCCGCACAGTCTCTCTTCTCTCTCCTCTCCCTATCTCGGCTCCCTCTCCCTCGCTCCCCCTCTACTCTCTCCTCTCTCTCTCTAGTTCTCCTCTTACCTCTCTCTCTCGCCCGCGCCCGCCCCTCTCCTCGGTCTCCTCCTCTCTTGGTCTGTCCCGTGCTGCTTTGGGATTGGCGGGCGTGGTTTAGTTGCGGCGCAATGTCTCGACGCTGTTGATTAAGTCTGCTCATGGCTCTGACGGCGGTTGTTTTCATCGATGAGAGCAAGATAAGAGGAGCCGCCCGACGGGTTCGAGAGCGAAGAGACACACACAGAAAGGATAGAAACAGGACAGACGAAAATGGGAGTGGCCTTTGGTGTGAGCGTGACTCGCCGGTGTGGTGCCCTGGATTGGGCTGGTGCGGATGGGAGCGTTCGGAAAAATATCAATTCACCATCGTAGCGAAGGCATACTACGAAATTAATGATTTAATAATTTGCGACCTTTAATAGGTAAATCTATTATTAATGTTTTAATCATATATTTTATTGTACAATGTTTGGTCCGCCGGAAACCAGGGCATAATTGGTGCGTGAGTGCGTGTGTCGATTTTTCAGACAACATTTTCAGTAAGGGTCTGTGTTCCTATATGTAAGATATACAATTGATCAAGAATATATTATTGCGATATAAGTGACGAAATGTCTGATTTGGTGTGATTGGAAGTGATCAAATTAGACATGGTCTAAGACTCGCTTACACCAGAAAGCTCACCACGGTTAATTACGTGTGTTCATATTTTCCCCTTGGAAAAATTCACATCCAAGAGCCATGAAGGCAGTAATTTTCCGATTGCAAAATGCGAAACCCGTTTATTCAGGTGGCTGGATTAAAATGGCTAGGCTACGTGCAACAAAATTGCCAGTCATTTAGTTAGACTGAATGGAAATTAAAGTATTAATAAATTATGTGCACATAATTACGAATGCTGACGCTCACCATTGTTTCTGCTTGCAATTTCGGATGTCCACTCGCATTTTGCGAGCGTGCAGTTACTAATTTCGAAAAAACCAAGAAGGTGAATACGTCAACTAAATCAATATTATTTTGCATACCTACGCTAGTCCTATGAAGTAAGTTATTTTTCTTCAGGGTGAATAGCGTCTGTGCACCTGGCAGTGATGTAGCAATGTGGGGCATAGCTGGGATATTTCCTGGGAAATGCGCGGGGATGTGAGAATTATCCACAACCTAGCGCACGTGAACAGTGAGCGTGCTGCACGACGCGTGCACGTAAATAAACCCTGGCCAACACAATGTGTAAGGTTCACTACCACTGGCCAAAAGTAAGCTCCACCCACTTCTTATTGATTTTTGGTATGCCAACGCTGCTACTGGATTCAGGAACCTGTGCTAACCTGTGCGTCCGAACATCCCACGCACGTTTCTTGAATGCCGACTAAAGTTGATTGCAGTGGGCAGTCAATAATATGCAGTGGGCGAACGCATTGTTTACATGTATGTCACGGTTAATCACCGATTAGTTTTCAAATAAATACCCCTGGAAGTTAATATGCATAAACAGATTTCTACAGGTAACAGTTTCTCAGTGTTTCGAGTTTTCGGTGATCAAATAGCTGTAACTGCATTTATGTCTTGTACGTCTGTGCTTCGCTGTGTAATGGAAATGACTACCCATGCGACTCTCACTAACCCATGCTCTCCCTAACCATGACTCTCCCTAACCCATGACTTTCCCTAATCCATTAGCTCTCCCTATCCCATGCTTCCCTAATTCCATGCGCCTCTCCCTTAACCATTGCCTCCCTAAACTCCATTGGCTTTCCTAAACCATGACTCTCCCTAAACTCATGACTTCTCCCTCACCATGGCTCTCCCTAACCCATCGCCTCACCAAACCTGACTCACCCATAACCCATGACTTTTCCCTAACCCATGACTCTCCTTAAATCCATGGCGCTCCCTAACCATGACTTCTCCCTAACCCATGGCTGCCCCGTAACCCAAGACTTTTCCCTAACCCATGCTCCCTAACCCATGACTCTCCCTGAACCCATTACTCACCTTAACCAATGACTCTTCCTTAACCCATGGCTCCGCTCTAACCCATGGCTCTCCACTAACCCATGGCCTCTCCCTAACCCATGACTCTCCCTAACCCATTGGCTCTTCCCTAACCCATGACTCTCTCTCTAACCCATGGGCTCTCCCTATAACCTGTAGGTGTAATTAATAGCGTATATTTTTGACGTTCCTGCACAGCCTCCTTACTTGCTGGCTACGTATAATCACCACGTATATATATATATTTATATATATTATATACTGGTAATAGTATATATATATAATAATGCAGCCGCTGGGGAGGTTGCGTNCTTCCCTCCCGCTGCCACTCATCTCTCTAGACGTAGTACGCGGGCGGCTGCACCTGCAGCCGGCTACGCGTCACTTGCTCCGGCATTTGCGCCAAGCCCCGTGGTCGGTACCCATGCTCCATGGCTCCAACGGCCTTGTGCCTCCTCGCCGTCTCGTCTGCCATGCCCGCTTTTCCCACTTCATCTACTTCGCTGCCGGCTGGCGAGGGCGTCAAGTCCGCTGGGGGTCGTGCGTCGCACCGTTCCGACTCACCATCGTCGGCGTCGGCCAGCTCTTGGTCGACAGGCATCTCGCACTCAGCCCCAGCAGTTCCTTGCTCTGTCCCCACCTCCACTTCTGTTACTTCTTCATCGTCTGCCTTCCGCCGTTTGGGCGGGGCCAACCCGGTTGGC